TCCCCTCCCCCCCCCCTGTCCCTTAATCCATCTAATATTATTACTATCATTATTATCATCAAAATTTAAATTCCAATTTCGTTTCCAACAGCAATTTTAATATCAATTGACATTTCTCTTCCTATTTCCTATTTCCTATTTCCTATTTCTACTTATCAACTCAATGCCTATTCTATTTCTAATTCCTGTTATCATCTCTATTCAAATTACTACAATGTACTCAAATTCCATTTCCTTTTATATTCCCGTTCATAATTTCTTTTTTCATATTCCCGTGGTTATCTCTATTTTTAATTTTATTCTGTTTTAGTGTATATTCCTGTTACTATTTTTACCAAATAACCATCCTTCCTTTAAGTATATAATAGTTGCTTCTATCTATCTATCTATAAATATGTTTTGTTTTACACTTGTTACTTTAGAATATGCATATGTGTACACTGTTTTGACAGGGATACATGATTAAAAAGTTATAGAAAAAATAAATCCCCAAAAGGGGGTCAAGGAAAGAGGGCAAGTAATTTTAGGACATTTTTTAAAGCTAAAATTAGATTTCCTTGTCATAACTTAATAATTAGTTTTTCAAAAAAATGAAAAAATAAAAAAAAGTTTGTTGAAAATGTACAATATTGAATTTAAACATTGAATGTTGTACAATGTACATGTGTATTGTGTACATCTGTATCTTCAGCATTTGGGGAAAATCCATGTATTTGATTTAAAAATCAATTTAACTTATTTGTTGTTATAAGAAATAGGAGAAAACATGGTATTGGTATTTTAAGTATTAACAGGGGGCATTAAGAAAACCTTTTAATATGTCAATCCTCTTTTGTAGCGCGCGCAAATATTTTGGGTTTCAAAGTTAGAACGCTCGCGCGCATAGCAGGTCCAAAATTACAAGGTTTAAGAATGTGCGTTGGATAACTTGTTATATTTGCTGTGGGCTGAATTAGATAATATATGTTTTAACAAAACATTGAAATAATACCCCCCCTCGCCCNGGGGGGTATCCTAGGTTGTTGTAACAAAACACAGGATGTTTGAGAGTTAAGTTATATAAATATATAGAGTTTGTATAGTTCCACTCACTATATCATTTAATACAGGATAGTCGAGAAAACTTCGCAATTAGGATAATTTGCACAAAGGCACCTGGAGAGTGGAGGACGGGGGGGGGCGCACAGAGAAAGGCGGCAGAATTGTAAAATTTTGGAAGTTTATCATTAGATACTAGATTTTTAATTGTAAAAGAGACAAACTTGATTTCTTCACATTTTCTTATTTTGTCATGCAATATTTTTACTAATTACCATTTAGTTATTAAATATTGTGAAAATTTACTAAATGAAAAGCACATCTGACAAGATTTTCCTGAATTTCCATTTTCTGATTTTTCAACAGGTTTATTAATGGTTTTAGTCAAATATTCAAACCTAAGCTACCAGGGCGCATCGTGCATCTTGCAATTAAATACCATTTACAATATTTTGTTTCTGTAATTAAATAAAACAATCTTATATTTCGCAGAGTTATCTGTTTAAAAACAAATAATATGCTGGTGGTCAAATCTACACTATCTGACCGTCCATCATCATCTCATATTCATGTACAGGTGATTTAAGGTCCTGCAAAAATATGGATCCAATCGTTTTCATCCAAACAAGCCACCAAACAGACCACGCATTTATTTAGAGAATCTGCCTCATCAACTGGTCCGATAAAAAAAATTAGTTCTTTCTTTCTTTGTTTACTATAGGCCCGAAAAGGACATGTGGTAAACGAAGTATACATCAAATGAGATCGATTTGCGCATTGCCTTGGGAACCCAGCTTTGCTTGGAGATCTAAACAGCAAATCGGTTCATGAGTTATGATCGGGCATACAAACAAACTGACAAACAGAGATTACTGCTTCATATATATATACATGTCTATAGATATATTGCATGGGTCACATTGTCTACGTTTAGGGAGATAAACCAGAGTTTCTAATAGATAGATAGATAGATAGATAGATAGATAGATAGATAGATAGATAGATAGATAGATAGATAGATAGATAGATAGATAGATAGATAGATAGATAGATTTATAGATATATAGATAGACAGATTTATAGATATATAGATAGATAAATATATAGATAGATATGCAGATAGATATATAGATAGATTTTTAGAAAGATAAATAGATTTTTTATAGATAGGTATAAAGATAGATATGTTTGACAGTTTTTAATCCAGATGCACAAATAACATCTTTTTGGGTGTTCCGACCATAAACAGTCCTCATAATTATAGGCCCAATTTTAATCCATATTATAGTCCCCGTAATAGTCCAAATAATAGTCCACAAATTTAAGATGAAATGTACCATGTCTGAGACATATAAGTTTAAAAATAATTATTGAGTTAGAGCTTAATTAGACGTTAGAAAATTGATAAAAACGCCATGGGAAAAGGATGTAGTGGGGTGGGGAGGGGAAGGAAAGGGGGAGAGGTAGGAGGGGGGGGGGGTAAAGAGGAAATATAAAAGTCAGGTTTAGGGGGATTTCAGCAAAGATAAAATGTCAGAGAAGAGGTTTAACGGAAACCTTCTTCCCACAGAGAAGATTTGATAGAAGATTCAATCCAAGGTACTAATACAAGGAAAGTTTATTGCGGTTGCATATACTCTGCGTACATATTGAAACCAGTTCTCTCTGGGCGGAATTTGTAAACAAGAATAGATGCATCAGTGTTTGTATAGTATCCGAGGAGGCTAAAAGGATTTAATTTTGATAAGTTTGAAAATTCAAATAATAGTTTCCTGTCATAGGAATATTTCATAGATTATTTTTGTGAAAATGGATTCCATGTGAGGCTGTGACATCCGACTTGTGTTTGCATTTCCGCCCAAAGACAGTACACTGCAGTACAAAAAAATGCGTACACATCTAAAATAACTTTCTTTTCATTAGTACCTTGATTCTATCTAAGTTTATAAGAACTATATATTGTTTGATCAAATATGAAGTAGATATCTATGTTTATAATTTGAAAAACTGATTATTTTCAAATGTGGTTTCTCCACAAAAGTGACTTGCGCAGTTCTACTGCGGGAAAACAGAAAGGAAAATGGGATTGAAATCTTAAAAATCTTCCACATTATTGATCAGGGTCACTTGAAATTACATAAAATGATTTTCTTTAGGTCGCAGGCTCGATAACACCAATAAGAAGCGAGCAGCATATAGGTTTAAAGTCACAACTATAGGATTTATTGTAAAAGAAAAACTAAAAAAAAACTTTGATAGAGAAGGAAGGTGTTGACGTGGTGTATTAATTAATATATTTACTGCAGAATAAAAAACTAAAGTGATGCGCTTTTGTTAATCTGAAGCTAACCCAGCAGTAAACAGGGATGTTTCTACTCTCTTATCCAGCAGTAAACAGGGATGTTTCTACTCTCTAACCCAGCAGTAAACAGGGAGAAGACGTTAAAGGGGGTGGGGGTGAAAGGGTTTGATGGTGATTTCAACGCACTTTTGTTTCGTCATTAAAATATGATCATAATTTAGAAAATCCTCTGCCCTAACTTTTAATTTTTTTACAAAAGCTGCTAAAAGGGATTTCATAATATGGCTGTGTGCGGGTATATGGCTTTTTACCCTTTTTCCTTAAATATAACCTTGGTCCTTTTTAACCTTTTACATTTTTCCATTTTCCTGTTCAAATTTCAGTTTCAAGCCTTGAAGGTTAATTAAGTAATTCTCAAAACTCTAAATCTACATTTGAAATAATTTACAGGGTTTTCAACGTTTTCGTTTTACATTACTAAGCTTCAAGAAAAAAAGATAATTTCTTAAATTTTCCTGATTTTATTCGTTGATTTTCGACTTACAAAAAAAGGTTTAAAGTGCCATTTTCAGAAGTGGCAATACACCACTTCATACATGCTATTCTACTAATTTCATGATATTCTTTAAAAAAAAAAAAATCCGTATAAATTTATTACAATTACAAAACAATTTTTAACTATGATTTTTAGGTTGATTTTATAGGTTTCTCAATCTAAGGACACTTGTTCCAATGCATCCCTACCTAACACAAATTATATGGTATCCTTATATATGTAACCCCACCCTATTTAAAATAATTTGCTTGGTATAATCTTCTCTTGAAAAATTAAGATATTTACATGACATAAAATTCAAGCAAAAATTACTCGTTTTTATACCAAAATTCCGAAAATTTGCTATGCAGGGAAGCTCATGCTACAACACTCCTCTTTCCACCCCCTTGGGAAAATCCTGGCTACGGACCTGATGCGAGTTATAGGGCTTTGACAATAGAAAAGAATTTTTTTCAAAAATACCGAATTCAATTATCTATCTTGAGACATACATAATAATATTAATTCAGAAGATCCCATTTAAAAAAATAATTTAGAAAACAAATCTAAAACTCTAATCTAACCCAATCCCATTTCCCGCAGGACATATATATATATGTGTATTTATACCATGATAGCTTACAGCAATGGAGAATAAAAGACCTGTTTTTATTGTACAATTACATGTCAAACCTGCTCAATAATGACATGTTATTTGACAGGTCACGTAGCAGTTCTAATAGAATTTACCCAGGGTTACCCACAAAGTATAAGATTAAATTAAGTCCTTTACCTTCTTATTTAATGATTTAGCAAAGAAACAAAGAATCCTAGCTGAATATAAGGAAACAGACAATAAATTCTGTACAGTCGTCTCTGAAGTCGTATCCTTTATGAGTAACCTTGTTGTCTAAAGGAATTGTTCATTGAAACAAAAAAAAACACAAAATACCCCGAATTCTGAAACAAAATCGCAATAACTGACCCATTTTTATCAGTTAGACCTTGAGGGCAATAATGATCGATGTTTTTTGCCAAATAGCAATGCAAATTTTAACATTTTTGCAATGCTTTATATGCATTTGACATATATTTAATATATTTAATCACTTGAAGAAATATTTTTAAATTAAGATTAAATCACAAGCCCTTTGTTGGTTTTAATTTCTAAAAGCATTTCTTAATAAAATGGGGAGAATACTTATGATTACTTTTTGATTTGCAATATTTTGTTTTCATAAAATAAATAAATCTTAATTAAACCTCCATAGGTAAAAAAAAATATTCTTTTTTAATTGTATTTTAACATTTTAACGCACATTTTACTGAATCAAAGGTGTAATGTAGAGATGATAAGTTTTGCTAGATATGTCCTTAAAACCAATGAAAAAGATTTCAAAGCAAAAGAGGACACATATACAAATGACGCACGTATAAAAGATCAAAAATCTCACCTCAAAAATCCAATGTTTAAATTGGTTTAGTGAGTCTATAACTAAAGAACCCTTATACAGTAGCAGGGCAAGGTCACAAACTATCTATCTATCACACTATGCTTCCCTGGTCACAGGTTGCGCTGTACTAACTTGAAATTACTCCGATCAAACAGGGATGTTTCTACTCTCTAACCCAGCAGTAAACAGGGATGTTTCTACTGTCTAACCCAGCAGTAAACAGAGATGTTTCTACTCTCTTATCCAGCAGTAAACAGGGATGTTTCTACTCTCTATTCCAGCAGTAAACAGGGATGTTTCTACTCTCTAACCCAGCAGTAAACAGGGATGTTATTACTCTCTTATCCAGCAGTAAACAGGGATGTTTCTACTCTCTATTCCAGCAGTAAACAGGGATGTTTCTACTCTCTATTCCAGCAGTAAACAGGGATGTTTCTACTCTCTATTCCAGCAGTAAACAGGAATTTTTCTACTCTCTATTCCAGCAGTAAACAGGAATGTTTCTACCCTCTATTCCAGCAGTAAACACGGGTGTTTCTACTCTCTATTCTAGCAGTAAACAGGGGTGCTTATCTACTCTCTATTCTAGCAGTAAACAGGGATGTTTCTACTCTCTATTCCAGTAGTAAACAGGGATGTTTCTACTCTCTATTCCAGCAGTAAACAGGAATTTTTCTACTCTCTATTCCAGCAGTAAACAGGAATGTTTCTACCCTCTATTCCAGCAGTAAACACGGGTGTTTCTACTCTCTATTCTAGCAGTAAACAGGAATGTTTCTACTCTCTATTCTAGCAGTAAACACGGGTGTTTCTACTCTCTATTCTAGCAGTAAACAGGGGTGCTTATACTCTATATTCTAACAGTAAACAGGAGTGGCTCTCTATTCTAAAAGTTAACAAGGGTTTTTCTACTCTCTATTCTAGCAGTAAACAGGGGTGTTTGTACTCTCATGCTAGCAGTAAAGAGGGGTGCTTTTTCTCTATTCTAGAAGTAAACAGGGATGTTTCTACTCTATATTCCAGCAGTAAACAGGGGTGTTTCTACTCTCTATTCTATCAATAAACGAGGATGTTTCTACTCTCTATTCCAGCAGTAAACAGGGATGTTTCTACTCTCTATTCTAGCAATAAACAGGAGTGCGCATACTCTATATTCTAGCAGTAAACAGGAGTGTTTAGGCACTTTATTCTAAAGTTAACAAGGATTTTTCTACTCTCTATTCTAGCAGTAAACAGGGGTGTTTGTACTCTCATGCTACTAGTAAAGAGGGGTGCTTCTACTCTTTATTTTAGCATTAAACAGGGGTATCTCTTCTCTATATTCTAGCAGTAAATTGGGATGTTTTTACTCTCGATTCTAGCAGTACACAGGGGTGCTTACACTATTTATCCTCACATTAAACAGGGATGCTTTTACTCTCTATTCTGGCAGTAAACAGAAGTGATTCTACTCTCTATTCTAGCAGTAAACAGGGGTATTTCTACTCTCTATTCTAGCAGTAAACAGGGGTATTTCTACTCTCTATTCTAGCAGTAAACAGGGGTATTTCTGCTTTCTATTTTAGCAGTAAATTGGGATAATTTTACTCTCTATTGTAGCAGTAAACAGAAGTAATTCTACTTTCTATTCTAGCAGGAAACAGGGATGTTTCTTCTCTCTCGGTTATCACTCAGTGATTATCGGTTATCACTCAGTGATTATCGATTATCACTCAGTGATAACCGAAAACTCTGAACTAGGAAAACGACTTTTAGACTCAATTTCTGACTTTAAACAGTCAGCATTGGACATAGCAATTGTGCAGTGTAAACATACATTAGTGATTTTACAAGTAAAACTATTTGCTCTGTGATAAGATAAAATACACTCAAGTCTTGCGATTAAATCGTCTTCCTAATTCCTATTTCATAGTTTTCTGGTCATCACTGTACGATATCTGATATCCTAACGTTTAAAGGCTGAATATCAAAACCACTGAAATATATTTTATATTTATTTATAAAAAAGATTTTTGTGTATTATTGTACTTTTTGACCTTATTTTGCCCCTAATTCATTACCCCCATTGCCCTCTTTCTCCCTTTTCCATAAAATCCCCCCTCGCCCCTCCCCGCGGCCCTGGATCAGCTGTTGAGGCTGAAAGGCATGAACCTCCAGTTTTCTTACTTCATCTTAATCTGCAATATCTAAATTCGAGAAACTACACAATTCATAGTTTACTTTCAGTCAAAAAGATTCAAAAACCAATATTTTGTCTTTGTTTCAAAATTGTGCACAGAAAAATTAGTTACCAAACATAACTTACATAAATATTTAAAAAGAGGATTATTTAAGTAAAGGATTGTATAAATGAAATAAATAAAGAACACGACATAATTGAAATCTTTAAAAACTACGGTAAACTATTATTCCTTAAGTGATCGACATAATATGTATAGTGACAGTACACTTACATTGATACAGGTTTATTAGATTGAAAGTAAGTACAGGGAAAGTACAGTTACAGTGACAGTACAGGTAGAGTGACAGTACAGGTACAGTGGCAGTACAGGTACAGTGGCAGTACAGGTACAGTGACAGTACAGGTACAGTGACAGTACAGGTACATTGACAGTACAGGTACAGTGACACGTGAGGTACAGTGACAGTACAGGTACAGTGACAGTACAGGTACAGTGACAGTATAGGTACAGTGACAGTACAGGTACAGTGACAGTACAGGTACAGTGACAGTAAAGGTACAGTGACAGTACAGGTACAGTGACAGTACAGGTACAGTGACAGTACAGGTACAGTGACAGTACAGGTACAGTGACAGTACAGGTACAGTGACAGTACAGGTACAGTGACAGTACAGGTACAGTGACAGTAAAGGTACAGTGACAGTACAGGTACAGTGACAGTACAGGTACAGTGACAGTACAGGTACAGTGACAGTACAGGTACAGTGACAGTACAGGTACAGTGACAGTATCTAGATTTATATCTATCCATCTATCCTATTAACAAACTAATGTATGTATGTATTGGTAACAATATATGGGAAAAATCATAAATGTTCTTAACTTATTGAAAATGAAGTATCTAAAGGCTTGGGAAACTCATATCTCATTTTATTGGACGGCCTTTATGTATTTATTGGACGGCCTATGCTTGATTTGATTTGATTTGATGACAATTACAGATAGTACAGTATACAGGTTGAAATATTTAAAGATAGAAATATAAAAGTTAGAAGTTGAATTATATCCAAAATCATGCTTTAATACACTAATAGTTTTAAAGAAAAAAAAGTTTTGCTTAATACAAGGTTGTTATTTTTATTCATTTTCTTGAAAAAAATTTTTTCAGAAGTTTTTCTTAACATTAATAAAGTTTCTGTAACAATAATTTTACAAATAAACTTTTGTTAATTTTTAACAAACATTCAGTAATGAGAAAAAGAAACAACAAATATGATAAATGATTTATATGTCACTAACTTTAAGATATAGAATGTTTGAAACGTTTAAACCTCCCTCTGCATGCTTTCTTCATTTTTCTTGTTAGTGTTTTTATACTCAATGAACCTAATTTTCCTCAACTTGATTTAGCATGTGGTGATCAGCTGACTGCGTATACATTCTTCGATACTGCTTAAGAATTTTAGTTAAATTGAAGTTGTCCAAATTAAATTGCATTTTCCAAAGCTGGGTCTATTGTGCTGTGTGAATACTTTCATATATGATAAAAAATTCACTTTTGAAAGATGGATATAGAAATGGGTCATTTTCAAAAAAGTGTAAAAAAAATTTTGGTTTGATGATTTTTAAACAACTAAATGTGAACCGGAGGCTGGTGAGAGAAAAACCTTTTTACTAAATTAACATCTCATATTTTGACCAAACAAACCCCACTATAGCCTAATGTACATTCTAAATGCTTTTTTGCTAGAGTCACTCTTGTTACAAAATAAAAGCTTATGGAGTCACAAGGTTGTAAATTCGTAAAAATTCTTGGAAAAACTAAAGTGATGCGCTTTTGTTAATCTGAAGCAAGGTTATAATGCAAGGAAAGTTAATTGCAGTTGCGTATACTCTGAATACATATTGAAACCAGTTCTCTCTGGGCGGAATTTGTAAACAAGAAAAGATGCATCAGTGTTCGTATATAAGAATCTGAGGAGGTTAAAAGCATTTAACTTTGATAATTTTGATAATTCACATAATTCCTTTGACCAGAATATTTCATTGATTTTTTATGTGAAAGATAATTCCTATGTCAGGCTTCCATATACGTCTTGTGTTTACATTCCCGCCCAGAGACTGTAGTACAAAAGATGCGTACACCTCTGAAACAACTTTCCTTGCATTATAACCTTGAGCTAAAGTGAATCCGAGAATTATTTTTTTTCTGGCAGTTTTTGCTGTAATGTTATTTTCTCCAGTCAAATTAAACAAAAAGTTTTCTCTTTCTTTTAGATTTTTAAAATGCAAAAAATATCATTGAAAGTTCTCCTCAGATTCTTAAGTGCTTATTCTCATTGGAATCTTGGTAAGTTTAATTTGACCCATAAAAGTTTAACCAGGGGCGTATACAGGGATTTGTCCAGGAGGGGAGGGGGGGGGGCTTATATATGTATATCCCATTTAAAATTCGGTGATGGTGATGGACCAAACCTCTGTAGAGTTCGTAGAGTAAAAAAAAGTTTATGTTAGTTCCACATTTATTGCAAATATATTTCGGTCTGGGTTGACCCTCGTCAGTTCTAATGATATAATAACCATCAAAATCGATAAAAAAATGAAAAAAATTGTTAAAACCACAAGAAAATAAACAAACAAAAAGATTATTCAAAATAAAAATTTGGACTGTCAAATGGACATAAGGGAAACGAACTCAGATAATGAGATGGAAAAAAGATAATTTGCAAATATTCACTTTTAAAAAAATGTTTAAGACAATTATTATTCCTTGAGATTGTTTCTGTCACAAATTTTAGAGGCCGTTAAGGCTTGAAAACCTCCCCTGGAAACCACTGTATTATCATTTATTAACACAAATCTTTCAATATTCTACTGATTTAAAAAACCGCATGTTGTAGTGTTAAATTTTAGATTTTTGATTTATTTTAAACTTTCTTAACTACTTAAATTATTTAAATAACTTTAATATGCATAAATAAAACCGTTTTGCGTTTTCACATTCTTATAGAATTTTTTTTGGTAATTTCATATTTTTCAAGTCAGACGGTCTGAGGGATATCATCTATATTTTGTAACAAAGGTTAGAAAAATAATATTATTAAAATTGGAGAGAAAAAAATTATAAGTTAGATATTATTTCAGGAGAGCACCGGTTCGACAGTTAGGCAAGCTTTAGTGAGAGAATGTTTATCTGGTTCTGATGAGAATTGCAACTGCACTTGAACGGAATTATCAATTCATAATTTCCATTTAGCTGCACAGCTGCACGGTATTGAATACATTGGGTATTAAGAAATACAATACTATATCTGGCTCGTGTGAGGGCATGCATTCAAAATTAGAATTTATCGAGAAGAGTTTTAAATGAGACTGCAAGCGTCCCTCCATAAAAAAGGCAGCAATGTCTGATTTACAACGGTGCCCTTGAAACCTTGATTTGTTCAGAACTGTGGAATATACTGTGTTTATTTCTGTGCATTTCTCCATTGTTTCTTATTCAAGAAACAATGCAGAGAAACCATGAATTAAAGCAACCAGTGTCAGAATTTTATGACTTGAAGCCGCGTCTCAAATCTCCCACAAAGCCGGTTTCAATTGAGCGACGGCTTAAATCTTGAAATATTGAATATAATTTTAAGTGGAACCAACCATATTTGAGTCGCGGCTCAAATTTTTTTAAATCAGCCTCTGTTTAAATAAAAAAAAACATTTGTCTAATTAATACTTGATCAGACAAAGCTTTCGAAGAGCATTATACATGTTTGCATGGACGGTCACATGACATAATGCTTACAGTACCTTAAATCTCTTCTCAACTCCATAAATATTTTGCCATTTAAAATAAAATTTGTTCAATGACCAAAGACGACATAGACGGATTTTTAGTTGGCTTTATTGTTCATAATTTTGCAAATATCACAAATGCCGCGTATAGTTTTCCCGAGCACAAGGAGAGACGACATGAAAAACGAAGACGACGAACAGGAAATCGGATTCGTAAACAACCAGATCGACAGATTCCTCTGGTGAGACGAGCAAAGATAAAGGGGTAAGCCATCTTATTAATTGAATCAAATCAAAATTCTATGAATCAGTTCGGGAGAGATGACATTTGCAATTTTTAATCCTGAAATTAAATCTAGTTTGGAAGATGAGAAAGCTGGAAGTGGAAAAGATGTTTTTATTTTTTCTCCAATTTTTGAAACTGTCGAGGAGGCCGTTCAAGTTGGAATAGGTAGTTTTATAATTCATAAAATTTTAATGTTTTCCTACAGTGAGTTCTAGAAAAAATAGGAAGTCGACATTTAAGCAATCTTTAAATGTACTAGATGTTGTTAGGCAGAATATAGTTGTAATCCTAAATTAAAAATTACTTATTAAGTAAAATGGTCTGTGCACCCTGCAAACAATTGTTGTGTCCCATGTTCATTTAATATCATAACTTAATTTAAAAAGTCGTCTTCCTATTCCACAGTTATTTGGTAGAACAGTTGTAATTCGCTTGATGAAGAAAACCACAATTGAAAATTGTCAATTATCAAATTTAAACATGTATATCTCTGTTATTCTTGATTACACAAAGAAAACCATTTTAAAATTTAAATTAAATCAAAATTTTAAATTTAAAATTTAAAATCGTTTTGCCTATATGATGCCAGCCACTCTACGAATGGTCATCTATAATCTCTTAACAGGTTTTACCTGTGTTTAGATATATCCGGAGAATCAGGTTCTGGTCCAGTACTAGGAGTACCTGGAGTACCAGGAGTACCAGGTGTACCAGGACCTTTATCTCTACTCGATGAAAAAAGTAAAAGGTATAATTTGGACTTTTACGCCAAACTTACGCAACTTAGGGTCGAAAACACTGAAGTGATGGTCCCCAGACTATTGCACATTTAGATTTTCATTTTCCAAAAAAGTATTAAATCAGTTGAAATTGTATAAATTGCTTTTATTAGTGAAAGCATTGAAAAAAAACGAAAAACCGCCGCGTTTTATTTTCTCTACCTATTTTGAAGAAACTTTTTTTCTAATCCCTTTATCTTTGCAGCCTCCTGATATTTAACCCTGATAAAATTCATGGTTTGAATCTCATATAGGTCTAAGACATTGTGTTTTTTGTTTAAACGTTAGGAATATAAATATTTATGATTTATTCCTAACAGTGATATCGTGAACTTTGAAAAAAATAGCTTTAAAATAAACTTTTTTGTTTTGTTTTTAAGGTCGTCTTATGATTCCTTAGCCTGGGACGACTTTTTACCTTACAAGGTAAAGTTGTTTGAAATTTATAAATTATAAAATTAAAAGAAATATCAGCAAAAATTGACTTAATTTTTCTTTACAGAAAATATCATAAATTGTAAATCATAAACTTAAGATTCATAATTTTATCCAATCATCTGTTTTTTTCGCAAATTTTCTAATAAGAAATTTTTGATACTTTTAGTCAGATAACAGTGCAGACGATTCTTCTTATGATACTATTGAAAATAGTACGGAGCTAGGTATTTTATAGTAGTAATAAATAATGATAATAATAATAATAATAATAATAATAATAATAATAATGATAAATCTAAATAAAAATTAAAGTAACATTTAAATGTTTCAGATTCAAAGGAATCAACACCTTTTTTCATAGGTTTTAAATCTTAAACGCAAAACACTTAAAAACCTAAAATGATTTTGCAACAGTTTCGTCCTAATTTAATCAGAAATCTTTATGAAAATATTTGTTTTTCATTCTAACGTATAGGGTTTCCAGTGAACGAAAACTTCGTTCGGTTTTCGTAATTTTATTCGCGAAATTTTGCGAAAATGAATTAAGCGAAAACGATGCAACAAATTTTTTTTTTATATTTTTATTGAAATGAAAGGTTGTGAGTAGCTGCAACAATTAATTGCGCAAAAAAACTTATGGAATTCTCTGCTCAAAGCTCAGCATTAGAAGTTTTATTATCATAATTAATAATTTTTGCATTCCCCCCCCCCCAAAGTTTCGCATTTGCTTTTTCGCAAAATTTTCGCATTTCTTATTTCGCGAAATTGTAAGTTAAAGATTTAAATTGTAAGACGATATTCCACCGGATTTTGGAACTTCGGATCTAAACGAATCCAGCAATTATAATATTTGTGTCAGGTAAAATATCAAATATTTAATCCGGCAATTATAATATTTGTGTCAGGTAAAATATCAAATATTTAATCCAGCAATTATAATATTTGTGTCAGGTAAAATATCAAATATTTAATCCAGCAATTATAATATTTGTGTCAGGTAAAATATCAAATATTTAATCCAGCAATTATAATATTTGTGTCAGGTAAAATATCAAATATTATTTTCCTGGTTAAAATAAAAAATAAATTTATTATGATTTCTGATGTACGTAAGTAAAAAAATATAATTTTCGTTTCAAAGCTAAAAAAAACCTTCAAACAATACTGCTAATCTGTCCCCATAGATACTAAATGAATGGTATTTTTTTATTAATATTTAATTTTGATTTTTAATTTTAATAAATTAAAATACATAATATGTTAGAAATGAAATTAATAATTGTGCAAAAAATACCATTTTAATTCGAGATTTCGTAATCAAGAAAGATTTTTACATAAAAGATTTTTCTTGAAAAGTATGTATTTCTCTCTATTTTAGAAATCAAGCAGATAAGCTAATTAAGGATATGCTCCAACTAAGGTTAATACTTTTTTAAATAATTTTTTGTATATCTTATTCTAATTTTCTTTTCATAATATCCTTGCAACCTGCTGACATTTCAAACTTTGACTATTAGAACAAATTCATATTTTGATATATCAAAGGAGGCAATGATGATCAGAAAATTATAGCTTGAGGCAGTTGTTCAGTTCCTTTTTTAAGTATTAAAAAGTGCGATAAAATGTGATTTTTAAATTTAGATATAAATATTTTCAAACTTTATGTTAGGGAATTTTTTTTAAAAACCCAACACATTTTGAAATTACGATTATTAGAATATAAGAACTTTTTTGTTGACTTAAAGGGAGTTTTCGCAAAAAGTTAAAGGATGTATTAACGATCTGAGTGGAATAGCCATTTTCTCCTTTAATATGCAACAGATAGAAGTAAAATTAGTATCGATTAATTTCAAATACAATTCTATTTTTTAGGCTATACCCACTTTCATTTTTTGCATTCAGCCCCTTTAATAAAAACAATTAGACAATGCCTTCAGCAATTTTTCTGAACACTGACTTATTTTAAATTGAAAAAAATGTGAAAAATTCTTCACATTTTGTTTGTTTGTTCTACAGTCAGAACCAGAAAGCTATGTCAACTTTTAAAACTCAAGTTATGACTTTAAAAATACTTTTTGCTTTGTAACAACATTAAATGCACTTCAGTATTGCTTTAATGTCGTCTTCATATTCTACAGTGTTCTGGGTTAGGATTCACATTGTAGTTAAAGAAATTTAGTCTTTGCCACAGACTCAAATTTTCTAATCCTTATATCTTTGCAACCTGATGGTGTAAACCATTAATATTTTAAACTTAAGTTCTTGATCTAACAGATTTTATGTTTTGAAATATTAAATTGTAATGTTATTTCGAATATTTGGAATCAAAACAAATAATTTAAAAATTGATAGATTTCAGTCTAAGTATCAATTAAACCTTTTGATGAAATTTATAAGACTTCTAATATTTAACAGTGTGCTCGCAGAATTGAATAACAGGAATTTAAGGTTTGATTTATTGACATATAATATTTACAAGTTAAAAATTTGATAAAATTCGAACAAGTATAAAAGGTGCATAAAAATATATAAGTTCAAAACGAGCTCAGTATTTTAGGACAATTTACAAGTATAAAAGATGCATAAAAATACATATGTTTAAAAACTAGCCCAGTTTTTAATGAAAATTTCACAAGTATAAAAGATGCATAAGAATGTTAACTTAAAAACAAGAGATTTTAGAGAGGGAGGGTTTAGGGGAATATAAATATATAGAGAGACCTGGTTAGAAGAGTAGTAGTAGTTCTGCCTGTGAACCCCAGACTGAATCTACTACGAAAAGGTGGCCTTTTTATACGGCCTGGTATTGCATAATTATGATGAAAAACTAGGACATATTTCATGACTTGTAAGGGAGAGAATGTTTGAGAACATGCATATTTCACAATGATGATAAAAATATAGGGCTTGAGAAGGTAGAAGTTGTAAAGATAAACTCAATTTATAAATTCAGAATGTTCTAGAATATGCATATTGCACAATGATGATAAAAATAAAGGGCTTGTGAAAGTAGAAACTGTTAAGAATGAATTCAATTGTAATTCAGAGATTATAAAGATAGAATAGGAGGGGAAGGGAGAAAACATGTACAATGAATACAAAACATATATATCTGTAAACTAAATAAAATTTTCTTGATTCTTGATTGTCCAGTGTAACAAAAGGAAATGATCTCCATCGATGCTGAATATCTCATGAGAATCCTCTCTGTCATTTATCTCATCTCTAGTAGGAGCCAAACAGTTATTTTGATAGAAAATATTGTTAGAATTTATAATCTTGGAGATTATAACAAAATTGGGTAGCACAGTTTTGCGGATTAGAAAATCAGAGATTGTGGCAAATGTTGTATTTCGGATTGTTCTAATATGAGTGAACAGTCCCTTGAATTCAACGGAATGCCAGGAGTCAGTACATCCCGAGCCGTAGCAGAGTAGACACAAGTCTCCTGCACATTACCGCTCCGGGACCTGTGCTATATACAGCGCACAGACAGCATACAGATGGAATCTTTCAAGATGAGCTGACAGTTAGAAGAAGATGAACCGGGTTCCCGTTATCATACCGAACCCCGCCTACATTGAAGAAGTGGAGCTGGATGAAGATGAAGTTGATCCAGCTGACCTCACTCCTCTTATCAGTGGGGACACTCCAATTGTCACCGTTCCTGCCTCGGAGGATGAAGATGTAGCTGAGGAGGTTGTAGAGGATGAAGATGAGGATGAGAAGGTGGAAGATATTCCGCATATACTCCGGGAAGTAATCCAAGACTTAGAAGAACTGAACCGGGAGTTAAGGAGTATGATGTCCCCGCCTCTTGGGGACACGAGCTCTCTGAGGCTGGCTAAACCAGCATACTGTTGTCCCTAACGTTGATGTATGGGACACAGGGAAGGCTTTAGAGCAGGAGCACAGGCTGTACAGCCTGACCCAACTATGATAGAGGTCAGGGACAGGCTGTCTAATCAGGTTTGGGATCTGCTCCAGATTATGCAGGAGCGGGTTGACCAGCATACCTGTAATAATAAAGATATAAAGTTGATAGACGGACTGAAAGCTATATCAGTCATGCACTTTAGACTTGGTAACCTAACTGAGAAAGTGCTTAAACGTCAAGCTGAGAAACCTCAGAAATAGAGAGGGATCAAAGCTAATAATTGTACCAGTAAATATCTTTATGTGATGTTATATATGCATTTATGAATATGTAAATAAATGTAATGACGTTGTAAGAATGAGTTTATTACTTTGGGTGTTAATAATTGCACGTGCATACAATTATATAAGGCTTACTCTCTATGTTGGAGATAGCTGAAGTATAGTAATGCCAGGTTGCAAAGATATTGACGGCGCATGAGGGTTAGGCCCGAGTGATAGGAATAACCCGATCTGCAATGTCATCAGGTTGCACAGATGATAGATAAAACAAGTAAGATAACTTAAAGTAAAATCTCATCAAAGTGCCAATTAAGTTTGCTAATTTATTGCATAAGTTTAGTAGTGCGAGAATACTACACAAAGCCTTAATTTCTTTATAGAAGAGAGATAGAAGAAATGAATTATCAATCCAAACCTACAGATGAACCCATTGTAATCAGGTATGTTAAAACACGCAGGTTTTAGCTTTAGTTTTGAATACGTAATAAAATGAGTTAAACTCCCTGGGACCTAATTAAAAAAAATAATATGAAGACATATATATGTTTAAAGAATAATAGAGTTTCAATGAGCAAAACTATTAAATATTTGGCACAAAATTTGTATTATTCTTCTTATAATATAAAGCCCATTGAAAAATTGTCAAGACGACATTTTAAAAATTCTTTTGATGTCTTCGAAGTTCTGGGTTCGATTGTACTAACATTTTTGTTATGGCATGCAACAAGATAAACTTTGAATTGTACAGTTAAGTTAGCCATCTATAGATTAAGTTTGCGCATAGTGCGAACGGAAATTATAGTCGTCACAAGTTGATGACGAATTTTGAAATTTTTAAAACAATCCTTTTAACTTTTTTTTAGTGGGGAAATAGTTGCTATTGACGAATCCTCATCGCAGCAGCATCTTTATGATAGATTAGGTTAGACTTTCAAAATTATATTTTTTCTTCAACTTCATATTTTATTTTTTGCTATTGTCAAAAAGAACCGCTTAAAGTTTTTCCTAAGAGCCATAAACATCTCTCAGTCAAATCATAGGGTGTGACTTCAAAAAGCGGCCCGGCCCGTGACTAAAACGACCTTGGGTTATAAAACGGCCCTTGGCTATAAAACGGCACCGGGTTATAAAACGGTCCGGGGTTATAAAACAGCCCGGGGTTATACAACGGTTCGGGGTTATTAAACGACCCTGGCTTATAAAACGGCCGCCCTTGGTTTTAAAACGGCCCGTGACTAAAATGACCCTGGGTTATAAACGACCCTGGGTAATAAACGACCCGGGGTTATAAACAACCCGGGGTTATAAAACGGCCTGGGGTTATAAAACGGCACTGGGTTATAAAACGGTCCAGGGATATAAAGCGGTCCGGGGTTATAAAACGCTTAATGTGGCATTGAGCCTATGCCAGACTCTGATTTTCTAATCTCTAGATCTTTGCAACCAAATTAACTAATCAAGCTCCGTGTATATTTTATATTGCACAGTTGCTGTTTTTTACAGTGTACTGTATACACTGCACAGTTGCTGTATTTTACAGTGTACTGTATACACTGTACAGTTGCTGTATTTTACAGTTTACTGTTTACACTGCACAGTTGCTGTATTTTACAGTGTACTGTATACACTGCACAGTTGCTGTATTTTACAGTGTACTGTTTACACTGCACAGTTGCTGTATTTTACAGTGTACTGTATACACTGTACAGTTGCTGTATTTTGCAGTGTACTGTATACACTGTACAGTTGCTGTATTTTACAGTGTACTGTATACACTGCACAGTTGCTGTATTTTACAGTGTACTGTATACACTGCACAGTTGCTGTATTTTACAGTGTACTGTATACACTGTACAGTTGCTGTATTTTACAGTGTACTGTATAAACTGCACAGTTGCTGTATTTTACAGTGTACTGTATAAACTGCACAGTTGCTGTATTTTACAGTTTACTGTATACACTGCACAGTTGCTGTATTTTACAGTGTACTGTATACACTGTACAGTTGCTGTATTTTACAGTGTACTGTTTACACTGCACAGTTGCTGTATTTTACAGTTTACTGTTTACACTGCACAGTTGCTGTATTTTACAGTGTACTGTATACACTGCACAGTTGCTGTATTTTACAGTGTACTGTATACACTGCACAGTTGCTGTATTTTACAGTGTACTGTTTACACTGCACAGTTGCTGTATTTTACAGTTTACTGTATACACTGCACAGTTGCTGTATTTTAAAGTGTACTGTATACACTGCACAGTTGCTGTATTTGATGCTAATCATAATTTAACGTAGAAAACGTGTTGTTAATGCGATATTTCCCCCAAATAAAGGACCAGTAAGTCGTAATAAACAGACTTAAACATGTTGTAAATACAAAGGTTAATTGAAAGTTTTGAGTCCGAACCTTTCATAAAATGTTTGTTCAAAAAAACCTAAATCGTTTCTTCATCTCAATCTAAATATAAATATTTAGAAATTATAACCGCAGAGGTGAAAAAAGAAATGGAGATCAAGTCAGGTAAAATACAAAAATTTATACCATTTTTAGAATATTAATATAAAATTTTCTTCAAACACAAATTTTCTAGTCCTTTCAACATGCATGACGCTGTAGAAAAAATGTAAATTTTGAATGTTACCTGAAATTGAAATGCAATTATGAGTTCTGTAAAGGAACTGAGTTTTTGCCACAAACTCAAATTTAATAATCTGAAGATTAAATATTTCAAATTATGCATTCTGCTAGTCAAAGCTTTGAATATAAAAAGTGTACACCATCAGGTTGTAAAGATATAGGAATTAGGAAATCATTATCCATTACTTTTAGATAAGGAAAGGGCTGAAGGGAAAATCAACAGAATGAATATTGACGATGATACAAAAATTAGGTATTTTTAAGAAAGATCTGTTCTCTGTATTTTTTAACTTTGTTGTCTTTCTCCTAATAACATTCACTAGTCTTCGCTTAATTGGGCAAATATCGGGCGGAAATAGACGCTAAATCCAGGTTTACTCAAAGGCCGAATTTAAAGAATTTGAGCCGCGGCTTAAATTTAAGCCGCGGTTCAAATATGGTTGGTTCCACTTTAAATTGTGTCAAATTTTATAAGATTTAAGCCGGCGCTCAATTGAAACTGGTTTTTGGTGGATTTGAGACGCGGGTTAAATTCATTAAATTCAGACACTGGTTAATGTTTCTAAAGTTTATAACGAATAATGATTATTTTTTTTAGGAATTTTTTCAAGGAAATCGTTGAAAAGCAAGTATCTGTAAACGAGGAGCTAAATGCTCAGAACACAGAAGCAGATACTATTCATTCTCAGGGAGATGGTAATTATTTAGAGGAATCATCATATGTAACTTCACGAGACTCCTTAAAGGGACTGTTTGCGTAATTTTAAGTAACCCTTGATGTTAAGATGGCAATTCCCGAATTTCAATGGTGCCCTTTAAAGCTTTGTCTGATCAAGTATATTCAAGTTTATGTTTTTAAACTAATTATTTCCAATTTCATGGTTTCTTCACAAATTTTGACTTGCCATGCAGAATAAACAAAATAAAATAATTTTCAAAATAAAAATATACGATATTATCCACCATATAATTGATCGCTGATCAGATACAGGATTCAATGGTATCTGGTATTTACCTCTCTAAACGGAGGGTCATTTGAAATTACGCTTACAGCTCTGAGGACGTAAATTTCTTCTTCTCTTGTTATAAAAAGTACCAGATCTAACTGAAAACTCCGCGCGGTTTATTTGAAACACCGCCCCAAATTTCAGACAGCATAGAGTAAGCTGCATACAGTTTAAATAAAGCTTTCAGACGGCAAAACAGGACAGTACATCATCATCTTCTAGCGAGAATAATGTGGTATATACGTCATAATCCATTTATAGGATCTGAACACTCTAATCCCAAAACACAGCCAGCAACGTTGATATTACAGAATTTTGAGTTTTAAATATCAAATTGGGGTTCACAGATAGAGAGATATCGGATAATTAGAATTTGTGACGACTGTTCAGTTCCCTTTAAAAAGGAATAATTACTTGAACATTTAAGAATATTTTCTAGCATTCTTTAAAGAGCTGTTGTAGACGTAATTTTAAGCAACCCCCTTTTTAAAAATTGTTTTGTATAAAGTACTATCAGTATATTTGCAGCAGTGAATAAGGTAATGAAATTGAAGAAAATTTCAATCTGCTCAAAACAGAAAAAGACCATATCTACCTTATTGTTGGCTTAATTGTACTAGTGTGAAGCGGCCCAGTAACTCTTTCAAATCAGATTCAATTAAAAAAGTACGTTTACAGTTCTTTAAAGATACAATTACAGTGTTAGTTTATTTTAAAGAATGATCCAAAAAGAATTGTTGAAACTTTTAAAATTTTATATATTTAGGGCTACGTGAGCTTGAGTCACTTGCCACACAAGACTCGTGTAGTGATCAAATTCTGTTGGTGAATGAAGAGGAAAACAAGATGGAGGACATCCCGGAAATCCTGACAACAGCTGACCTAGATTCTGGAAAGAGAAAGAAGAAGAATAAAACGGAAAAGCCCCGGCCCACATTCAGTGTGGACTCTTTAAAAAGAAAATCTAAGAAGGTCTAAATTTTTATACTCATTATCTAATCTAAAGATATTTATTTTCAAAAATTTCAAAAGTATTTTTCTGTAAAAACAAATTTTATTTTATTTTTGAAATTTGAACTAAACCTTACTCTTTCCAAATCCTACTTGTTATTAGAATAAAATGTTATAACAACTCAAAATGGCGTACTCCGTCATATTGGTTTGATCAATGCCGCAATATTTTTTTATTTTGTAGAAAGACGACGGGAAAACTTTAGATATTCCTTTCTGTGGTTACAATCAATACAGAACACTTCATTCTCTAAATATGGATTCATTAGGGACAATAATAAAATATAAAACAATACATAAAGTTTTCAATGTAAAAGTTGATAAAAAATTACTATAATTTTGTCTGTTTTGAAGATCGAAGGCGTAAGGTAAAAAATGAATTTAATAAATATAAAATGAATTTAAATAAAAATAACTTTTTTAGAAAAAGAATCTGCAAACCATACTTTCTCCACATGACAAGCAGGAGGCAAAGGTAAATTAATCATTAAATAATTTTTTTAAATGTTCTGATATTTTCAAATGTTAGGAGATTATATCAATATAATGAAGACGACTTTCGATTTCAATTTTGATTCAAATCAAGGTACAGGGTGTCCCACGAAACATGACAATAGGCTCTTTGGTATTTGAATTTATTTGTGACATTTAGTCTTCTATCTACTTTAACATGTATGATTCTTGAAACAATTATCACATAATTCTCATAGCCCTGGCATTTCCAAAAAGTGGTCTGCGTTTTTTGTGCTTTCAATATTACCGGAGATATAAAGAGTTTGGTTCAGATTTCAATTTTGTTAAATAAAAGCAAAATTGTCGAAATCTGAACGAAATTTCTTCATATCTCGGGCAATATTGAAAGCACAAAAAAGGCAGACCACATTTTGGAAATGGCAGGACAAGGGAAATTTTGTGATTATTATCTCTAGAAATTTACTTCTAAAATTAGATTGACAAATAAACGCAGCAAATTATATCAAAAATCAAGACGACATTCAAGTCGTCCTGCATACTGTCATGTTTCGTGGGACACCCTGCATATTAAACAGCATGAATACGCAAAAACATAGAAACAAAAAGAAGCTGTCAATTAACAGCTTTCCTTTAATTACGTGTACACATGTAATTCGAAAAAAGCATGTTAACAATTAAAACTTAAATAAAAAAGTCGTCTTCATTATATTCGTATAATCGCCTATGCACCGAATTATCATATTAATGATATTATATATTTATGATAAATTTTGTTTTTAAAGCCTTTTTATGTTCACAATATTTACTTCATATGATTCAGTTTTTATAAATAACATATAACATATCTGTCAATTGATATGATAAACTTATAATTTAAACAAAATATTATTTTCAGGAAATTCTAGAAGATCTTGTAGAAATACGAGATAAAAACAATAAGAAGGGACAAAATAATCTTGTACTTGATTCTATGATTAGGTATGATTTTATTCATTTAATAATTTCATCTTTATTCATTTATTTATTAATTTATTCACTCATTTATTTTTTCATTCATTTATTTATTCATCTATTCACTCATTTATTTATGCATGCACCTATTCATTTATTTATTAATTTATGCATTCATTTACTCATTTATTTATTAATTTATTCACTCCCTTATTTATACATTTATTTATTCATGTATGTCGTTATTCACGGATTCATCCGCTTATGCTTTTTGTATTCAAATTTCCATTTAGCCATTTTTTCATACAGTGGTCTGCAATGTTTCAATAAAAAGACGACTTTTTATTAAAGTTTTAATTGCTAACGAGATTTTTTCGAATTACAAGTTTACAAGTAATATAAAGAAAAGATTTTTTATTAGAAATCTTCTCTTTGTTTCCATTTTTATGTGTATCCATGCTGTTTAAAAGTTTGATATAAATCAAACTCGAAAGTCGTCTTCATTGTAATGCTACATGTGACGACGAATGTATATCGATCATTTATTTATTTATTTTTTTAGTCTGTTTGCTCTGTCCTCTACTAATCTGCAGATTCCAGCCCAACCCAGTTCAGCGTCTTCTGTGGTTCAGTTTAAAGATTTATTCCACTTCGAGGAAATTAGTATTTAGATGTTCCAGATTAAATATGAAATTATTAAATTATGGAGAAGTTAATTTTGTTTAAATGAACTAATGGGGAACACCAGCGCTTGTACCCTAACCTAACCCTAAAATCACATTTTTTTGTTGTGAAAAAATATTTCAAATTTGATACAGGGTGGTTTAAAAAAATGAAAAAATAGTTCCATTGAGCAAATATTTGTCCAATAGGACGTTCTTGTTCTTTTGAGTATATCATTCGACTACTAGTCCTATTCAAACAGAGTATAGTACAATAGATGGCAACGTAGAATTTGTACACTCTCAGTACAGTTGTATTCTGTCGTCACAAGTGTCAATTCAGTTTTTGTGTCCGACAAAATCATCAATAATAGTGATAATTTTAGAATAAAGTGCTTATCTTACAGTAAAATAAGTGCAATTTTATGTGTTCTTTAGTTTCTGTTTTTACACTTTTTTATTTAATCTTGGGAAACATGTCAACTAATTTGAGAAAATTTCGTTTTCCTTGTTATATTTGACACTTGTGAAGTAGTGTATAATTCGTTAATTTCTCTGTTGCCACCTATTGTACTTGATAATCTATTTGGTCCTATTGATGTGTCACCGATATGATCATCCTACGTAAAACTTACGCAGAATATGAAACTTAATAAAACGTTGAAGCTAAAACATATAAATATTGATTGTCTAGGTGAATCAAAGTGAATCCAGGTAAATATTTAACATTTCTAAATCGTTAAAGGGACTGTAAGCGTAAGTGACCCTCCATGCAACGATGACAACGGTATCCCGGTCAAGTCTGAATGAGATATACATAATTTGGTTTCTTGAAATGGTTAATTTGTGTTTGAAAGTGACTTTCACATTTCTTGTTTATAAAAAGCAATTAAAAAACCTCCAGAGTCAGATAAATGACGATATCTTCCACATTTTTGATTCAAGGGCACTGTAAATTGGGCATTGCCATTTTTGCAATATTGGATTACGCTTATGCAGTCCCTTTAATATTTCTATAATATAAATTGGTGTTGTCTGTCTGTTTGTGTTTAATAAGCGTACGTCAAAACGGCTGAACCATTTCATTGGGCCGATTTTTTTGTGTTTACTCAAATAATTACTAAAACGACTAAAGAGCATTGTAAAAAAATTGAAACTGCAAAAATTGCAAAAAAGTTATTACTAACAATTTTCAATGTCGTCTTTATACTCTATTCTGATTTCTGATATGCCTACTGAATGTTTAGGTCTGTTTTTGAAAAGCTAGCGATGAATAACACCACTGAAAGCCACACATTACAGGTACAATTATACAGACATGAGAGTTCAGCGACATGATTAGAAGCAAGGTAATAATGCAAGGAAAGTTATTTCAAATGTGTTCGCAATTTTTGTACTGCAGTGTTGTTGACGGATATATAGCAAGATACTCAAGATAAAAAGACAATGAACCCCCTTCTCAAAAAAATCGATAACAAAGAATTTTCTGTATTTCCTGAAAAAAATACATGTATAGATAACTTTAACAATGTTATAATAAATGTTTATAATGAAAAAATCCTAACGATCTAATGGCAGATGAAAAAGGGGTAAACTATTGTTGAACAGTACTAAAAGACGTTTTAAACTTCTGAAATAAAATGACAATTGATTATTAACGAAAGTCACTAATTCTTTTTATAAAAATATTCTTTGTTTAATTTTTGAAAATGGATTCACAATGCGAGGTTGTTTATACTCCGACAGGGAGAACAAAGAAAAAGGGGGTTAACATTTTTGGTTTGGTTTTGGTGTCTCCGAGAGGGGATCTAAGTTAAAGACGACTTTACACGGAGCCTATAGTTAATGGTTGACAAGTGTACTGTCTTATGGCGGAAAAGTAAACACAAGACGGATGTCACAGCCTGACATGGAATCCATCTTCACATAAATAATCAATGAAATATTCTGGTCATATATGGAAACTATTTTGTGAATTTTCAAAATTATCAAAATTAAATGCTTTTATCCTCCTCGTATACTAGACGAACACTGATGCATCGATATATTCTTGTTTACAAATTCCGCCCAGAGAGAACTGGTTTCAATATGTACGCAGAGTATAATTAACTTTCCTTGCATTAATACCTTGATTAGAAGTCAGTTTTCTTTACGCAGCATTTATTCAACCGGATACGTTCTTCAAATTATTGAAACTCGGTATCTTAAATAATAATATTTGAGTTATTCAAACTAAGCAATTGTTTTTTTTCTATTTTTTTTACTTTCTATTCTAACTTTTCAATAAATATTTTTATAAGTAACAAGTAACAACATTTGTCGTCCTTATTAAAACTTCTTTTTAAAAACACGTCCTTTTGTAAAGAGTATATATATATATATATAAATATGTATATATATATATATATTTGTATATATTAAATATGTCTATATTAGTTTTCATTCAAAAAATATTTAAATAATATTATTTTTTATAGGATCTGTTCCCCTGGAGTGACAGAGAAGAGGGAAATCTGAAAAAATTAAAGTTTTGAATTTTTTTTTCAAAACCCGTCGTTGCCATTTCATAACTTTTTTCTTTCTTTTTTAGAATACATGTTAATACAATTAAAGTCTTCTTAGAATAAAAGCAAGATAAGAAACAAAAACTTTGTGTTTAAAATTAAAATACCTTAAAAAAGTATTTAAATTGCATCAAAGTAAAGAATTCTGTGAGGAAACCTAATTATGAGATCAAGTTATTTATATACATATACATTGATGTTGTTTTTTTACATCTGCATATAGAACTAGCTACATAAATACATCTATACACAGGGTGTCCCAATAAACATGGGAATTCAGTGACGAATTCGATATCGTCTTTTAAAAATAATTCTTTGATTTAGTGTAGTGTAGTGCTGAGAAAGCTGTAATCCGTAAGAATTTCGTCTGATACAGGGTGTCCCACGAAACATGACTTGAATGTCGTCTTGATTTTTGATATAATTTGCTGCGTTTATTTGTCAACCTAATTTTATAAGTAAATTTCTAGAAATAATAATCACAAAATTTCCCTTGTCCTGCCATTTCCAAAATGTGGTCTGCCTTTTTAGTGCTTTCAATATTGCCCGAGATATGAAGAATTTCGTTCAGATTTCGACAATTTTGCTTTTATTTAACAAAATTGAAATCTGAACCAAACTCTTTATATCTCCGGTAATATTGAAAGCACAAAAAACGCAGACCACTTTTTGGAAATGCCAGGGCTAGGAGAATTATGTGATAATTGTTTCAAGAATCACACATGTTAAAGTAGATAGAAGACTAAATGTCACAAATAAATTCAAATACCAAAGACGACTTCCAAGTCGTCTTGCTATTGTCATGTTTCGTGGGACACCCTGTATGTAAATATGACAGTTGGTGAATAGTTTTCAATGTCTTCTTCCATGATACTGTATTAGTTTTAAATAACTAGTACAGTATCATGGAGTTGCAGTTTATTTCATCAAACAAATCTTTTACTCAAATATATATTTGTTTGAAATCAATTTTACTATCTTATTACTGCCATTTAGTATTTCTTATCATCATATTTGATATCAAACAACTTAACAAATTACAAACTATTCACCAACTGTCATGTTTCTTGTCAAAGCAAAACTCAGTTTTTAGTTTTCAAACATTGCTTATAGATCTCAAAGGCAAAGCTGGGTTCCAAAGCTAATGTAAACATCAAAATATTTGTTACAGAATTAAAAGAAAATGAAATAACTCTTCTAAATATGGAATATGAAGACGACTTTATAATGAAGATATGACTTAAAATAGTTCAATGAACATGAGACACAATAATTTTTCAGTGTAAACAGACCCAATTAACATAGAAAGAGAATTAATTACTCACTTAAAAACTATTTGCCTTCTTACAACATCAAATACACTGACGTATTGCATTAATGTCGTCTTCATATTCCACCGTTGTTATCACTGTATATCTAAATTTTTTTACAATGCGAAAAGTCGTTAAGAAACATTAGTGACTGTATTGATTACATTATAAAATGTATAGTTTATGTACACGATCAGCGTAATTTACAGTGACCCTCCATGCAAAGATGGCAATGTCCGGTTTACAACGGAACCCTAAACCTTAATCTGATCAAAAGCGTGGCAATAAAGTTGTTTTCTGACTCAATGAGCTTTCCTCCGTTGATTCATGTAAACAAGAAATACGCAAATCACTTTCCCAGAGAAACCGAAAATGAAAGTAAACTGTTTTAAAGAACTAAACACATTGATACTTGATCAGACAAAGCTTTCAAGGGTACCATTGTAAATCGTTGTTGTATATCTTATGAATTGTTTCTTATCATATCAAAAGTTGTAATGTTCAATTGAACAAAAAAGAGTTATCCGGTTCAGAAACCTCTCTCTAAAGTTGAAAAATTAAATTCTATGCTAATTGATGATGTATATACTGTACAGGATTATCTGCAGAAGATACGACTTTTAAGTGACCGTTCACTTATTGGGTAATTTGAGGGTAAACTTAATAGCCTATTTGCTATTCATTGTTATTAGTCTTACTTTACAAAGACAACTGTGGTCTGAGAAGAAGCTGATTTATAATTCAGAATTCCATTGCAAAGGTATGATACCTTTTCATTTTCACTATTTTATGCACTTTTGTCAGTCATAGATTTTTAAAAATTTTCAAATATTAAATTTAAGTTTAGCATCTATTAGTTAATTTTATTTATAATAATTTTTTTCAAATTTTTTTTAAAATTCTTTTTTCAAAATATAACTTATTTCTAAACATGTAACGGTTTGATAAATTTTTCGCTACTTCCCCAGGAATCCCCGTGATTTATTGAAGAGTTAAGGAATCTTGAAAGAAAAGTCCCCTTTGTATAAACGTGCTAATATGTCAAATCATGTCTGAACATGAAAAACATTAATTTCTTATTAATTATAAAGTTTTTATATTTTATTATATAATGGCTGGCTGATACATATTGTCATTGAAATTTGAAAATTTTAGATTTTATTGTTGATACTGAAAAAACGTTTGAATAGTGTCTTAGCAAAGGTATCATACCTTTGCGTTGGAATTCTAAGAGATAAATCGGCTACTTCTCTAGACACAGTTATCTATGGGAAAGTAAGACTATACCAATGAATAGCAATGAATGTACTACCCTGCAAACAGTCTCCGACAAACCGAGATGGCGAACATAAAAAGTCCAGAATTATTTACCCGACTTCGCCATCGGCACATAAAGTCAGTAAAAATGTTTCTTTGGTAAGCTATTTAGTTTACCATGAAATTACTCAAATAAATTAACGGTCCCTTTAAATACGACTGTTGAGGCAATTAAATTAAAATAATTTATGTATTGAATTTATGGTGCCCAAAACATTAAAATTGGTGGATTTCGTTGACACACCCTTTATTTAAATTATCTATTTATTTCAGATATATAAGGGTATCCCACGAAACATGACAATTTGACCGTCTGGTCTGTGATGTTAGAAATAATTTGCGGCATTATGTCGTAAACCTAATTCTAGAGTTGATCACAAAATAACCCTAATCCTGGCATTTTTAAAATGTGGGCTGCCTTATTTGTTCTTTCAAATTTACCTTATGAATGAGTATGAGGAATTTCGTTTAGATTTTGACTATTTTAGTTTTCTTTAATAAAATTTAAATATGAAAAATCTCCAGCAATACTGACAGCATAAAAAGGGAGATCACTTTTTGAAGATGCCAGGAATTTTTGGGGTTATTATTTCTGAAAAAAAAATTCAAAGTTCAAAGACCATGCTACTTTCATGATTTGTGGTACACGTACTATAGGTAAATACTAAATATAGCCTTCAAGTGTTTCCAAGTCATTGCACAGTGATAGCAGTGAAATAAATTGGATATATTAAATATGTAAAGCGTATATTTATGTATTTAAAATAGAATAAAAATAGAGCTCCCATTTATCTCTCTCATTTACAATATAGTATTATCGGCTGGGAGCGGCCAAACTCCGTTACTCGCGAATGCCGCGATGAATTTTAAGAAGAGAGATTAGCTAGGGGGGGGGGCCGCGTCAATTGTATCTCCCTTCTAATCTATACTCCTTGGCACTGGCCTGATTCTCTTTTAAAATAAGACGACTTTCTTAGAGCTTGCAGATTGAATATCATCAAATATAAAATGGAAATTTTGACAAAATAATGATTGTATTTCAGAATAAATTAAGAAACAGCAGATTCTTCCTTCTCCTTCTCCTCCTTCTCCAGTTCTTCTTTCATTTCTTCTCCTCCATCTTCTCCTCCTTTCCTCTTCTTCTTATCCTGGAATTTGTTCTTCTCGAATCTTGAAACATCAACTATAAAATTGATAATTTAAAGTTTTGATCAAAAATTCCAAAGGAATAAAAAATTGATTTACAAGCTACTACAGTCGACTTCGTATAAATCAAAACAATAGTCGACTTTTCATTTATGTTTATGAATTCTAACGAGCTAAATTTTCTAATTTCAGTTTACAAGTAATCATAAGAAGAGTTTGAAAATTGACAGTTTCACTTTGTTTATCCAAGATGTTTGAAAGCTTGTTATAATCAAAGCCAAATGAAAAAACCGTCTTTTGTCTTATAAATACGACATCGACTGTTAAATTAGTTCGACCCCCACCATCACTTTATACACATGCATCTAAACAATCTCAAGGAATAATAATAGTCTTAAAACATTTTTTAAAAAGTGAATATTTTCAAATTATCTTTTTTCCATCTCATAATCTGAGTTCGTTTCCCTTATGTCCATTTGACAGCACACATTTTTATTTTGAACAATCTTTTTTGTTTGTTTATTTTCTTGTGATTTTTAACAAACATTTAAAAATTTTTTTTTATAAACTTTTGATGGTTATTATATCGTTAGAACTGACGAGGGTCAACCCAGACCGAAATATATTTTCAATAAATGTGGAACTAACATCTACTTTTTTTACTCTACAGAGGATTGGTCCATCACCATCACCGAATTTTAAATTAAATCTTAACACATGAGCTTGCTTAAATGTCGTCCTTCTGTTCCAAAGTTTTTTTTGGATCCAACTATACCAACACCACTCTGTAAGGAAATGAAGACTTAATTTTAAAGGCGCATACAGAAATTTATCCAGGGAGCTTAACCATTTTGGGATTAAATATTTTCTTTTGTAGGATTATCTTTTTCTTTACTTAAGCATATTTTTTTTACAAGTCAATAAACCCATCATATTAATTTCAATTCAATGAATCCGGTCAAAAACAAGTTATTCAGAGAGAACAAAAAAAATTTATATAATATTTTTTCCCATTAAATTATTCAAACTTGAATGAATACAGTGGGAACCAAAAACATAAGAATCCATCAAATACCGTCTTTGTCATTAAAAGCTGTTAAATATTTCTTAACAAATTTATAGCACTTTTAAGATTAACTTTAGTTGCCATTGTGTGATTTTAAAATGTAACAAAGTAAAATGTGCAAAATGTAACCATTTATATAGATCTAAAATTAATCAATTACAGTCGTCGTTGTATATAGCAATACAATGAAGACGACTTTCTATTTAAAATTTAGATTTTCAAACAGCATGGATACACATAAACTAAAAATAGAAGTTGTCAATTAACAGCTTCTCTTTGTTTACTGGTAAAAAGTGTAATTTTCAGTAAGGTTGTTAGAAATCAAAAAACTTAATAAAAAAGTCGTCATTATTATTTTTTAAGTATTAATTACTTTGCACTAGAGTGAAGATATTAATTAGGGTTTTGGCTCACACAGTACTTCTGAGAGACGAAGAGTTCTTACTAATATTTTTTATTGAACCAAATCCGTACTCAAGATCAGATGAAACCTTTTTCCAAAAACTTAAATATTAAAACAGTGAAATAAGATATTTCTTTGTATAACAGAACATCAAATTTGTAGAAATAATCGTGAGCAGGAACTTTTGTTTTTATAATCTGTTATTTCAGCACAGATTATCTCTTCGTGGATTTCCTATTAATCCATGGAATTGACCTTAAATCTTTCAATTAAATCCTATTTCTTCTGACGTTCCGGGGCCTTATTATAGTTTTAACAATCTATAGCATTCCATACATTTTAGAAAAACCCCTGGACTCCACATCACCAATTTCCAATAATCAAAAGTCGGAAGATGTATTGATAAATCCAGTTAATTCCAAAAACATACTAAAACATTAAATTGGAAAATAAATTTTATATTTTTGTATAGCCCTCAACAAAGTTTGCAAAGATAATTGAAAAGTGTTGAAAACTTAAGTGTTGTGCAAGATATCTTTGCAAAACTTGTCCAATCTGCTTTCCAATGAGCTACGTAAAATGTTGAAATCCAATGACTGGAAGTGGGTCTAAATATAGATTTAGTCTGGTAAAGTAGAAATAGGCCCGAGGACTGAGGCAGTAGGTATTAAAGCAGTGAGAGAGTTGGGTTAGTAAGAAAAATAATTTCAACTACTTTAGACCGATACTTTTATGCTTTGTCTAAAAAAAAACGTTAGAGGGAGGAATAGAGTTTACGTTGAAATTGTGAATTGTAATTACTAATAAAAAAAAACTTTGTCTTCTAGTTCATTCTACTTATTCTAGATAATTGCAAAGAAGATCTGACTACGCAGAAAAATCTAATCATGTTTATTTCTCGAGACTATTTTCCAGCTCTGTTGGTTTTAGGTTTCATGATTAAACATCAAGACACGTGCAGACACAAAAACGTGACATATTAGAGTCCAGTTTTCAAGAGAAAAAAAACAAACATATTTGCAGGTTTGTAAATAACGTTTTAGAACTCATCCATGAGAATAAAAAAACATTCATTGTTAATTACAGTTATGTAAATTGTTATTTGCAACGGTTTGTAAATTGTCAATTGCACCGGATTTTAATTGTCAATTGCACAGTTATGTAAATTGTTAATTGCACCGGTTTGTAAATTGTCAATTGCACCGGATTGTAAATCGTTTAATTACACAGTTGTGTAAATTTTTTATTGCGCCTGATTGTAAATCGTTTAATTACACAGTTGTGTAAATTGTTAATTGCACCGGTTTGTAAATTGTCAATTGCACCGGATTATAAATCGTTAAATTACACAGTTCAGTAAATTGTTAATTGCACCGGTTTTTAAATTGTCAATTGCACCAGTTTGTAAATTGTTTATTACACAGCTGTGTAAATCGTTACTTTCAAAGTTACGTAAGTTGTCAATTGCACAGATTTGTAGAGTGTTACTTACACAGATTTGTAATAAACTAGTTGCAAGTTATTTTAAAAGTTAAATTGCACAATTTTGTAAATTTCTAATTGCACTGATTAGTAAATTGTTTACTGTTACCAAGTGAAATAATGATAATATTCCTTTTCAACAACGGTATTTAAATTCAGAAAATAAAATAAATAAATTATTGTTTACCTCCGACCAGACGTAGATAATGTACTCGCTCGTTCTTCGGTACATAGGCTCGTATTGTACTCTTTCCTGAACATTTATCTTCATTCAATATTTTTAAAAAATGGTACATTGTCACGTATTTTACCCTTTCCAAAACATATGTAGTATACAATTTTCAAAATATTTTTGTTGGATAAAGGAATTTCTATAACTTTCTTTTTCAAAAGTTCAGAGTTGGGGTTGGAGGGAAAAACTTGTTTATAGTTTTTGGTTGATTTATGGCTCCTTGGATCCAGATCTAGGAAGCTAAAATGTTTCAGATCCTAGGCATTGTTAGTGTTTGTTAGCCTTTTCATGTTAAATTCGGAAATTAACATTTGAATTTTAGAATCCATAGAATCCGATCCGATCCCGATCCCGATCCCGATCCCAATCCCAATCCCAATCCCAATCCCAATCCCAATCCCAATCCCAATCCCAATCCCAATCCCAATCACAATCGAATCGAATCGAATCGAATCGAATCGATTCAAGTCCATTTTATTAATGATAAAAACATGTTCTTACCTTTCCATCCGATAATTTCCACTCGGTATTCTTCCCCATCCTTATCTAAATTAATGAATTCATCAATCAATTAATCAGCAATTCAATCAATTAATCAGTTTCCAATCAAGTTTAAATAATTTCCAAAGGTTTTCTCCTCTATTCCTTTATACGAGAACATTAAATAAATATCGTAGTTTTACCAGTTCGAAAACAAATTAATGAATTTTCCACTATAATTGCTGTTCATCAAGTCTGCAAAAGAACTCGCATACAAAAGATATCAATTTTTAAATAGGAAAACAAAAAAATATTCATATTCATGTGAATATAATTTTGTCAACAGTCCCTTCGAGATGGCAAAATTTCTTTAAAGTTTATCTGCCACGTGATGATCTAAGCAAACCCTATTTGTTAACATGACACGCATGTCGCAAGATCAGTTTATTATTTTTATCAATGTTCAGTACAATTATTTTTAATAAGTCCCAAAAAAACTAATATAGAAATAGAAACATGAATATCAGTCACCAAAGAGTCACTGAACAGAATGAGAAATGAGGAGATAAAATGAACCTGCCATGCCAATACTGTATGATATTATGACATTATCTCGAAACATTTATAAATATGTAATAAAGAATAAAAAAACCTTTATCTATAAAGATGAGAGCTACACTGCCTGTGCTGCAAGCTCCGAGCTGCTTCCTGAATTCCGGAGACATATCCTGATTCTCCGGAGGTTTGTCAAAATCTAACACGAAAATCACAATAGATTTATTGAAAACATTAATGGGTGTTTTATTTACACTCTTTAAATAATAATTACTTAATAATTTGACTTGAAAAATAATGAATTTTGAAGAATTTTCTCAAAATTTTCTATTTATCTATACAACAAAGGGGTTCTAAGACCAACCTAAGAATAGAACTATTGACGTAGATTAATATCCTTTCAAGTGAAAATTAATGTGAAAATAATTCTTCTTGCGGTCACAGCTCTCAAGTTTTCTTCAAGACATAAAATTGTCGGTATTACTATTGTCATCTAAAGATAATGTTGGTATTACCATTGTCATCTAAAGATCATGTCGGTATTACCATTGTCATCTAAAGATCTTAAGGCCATATTTTTAGCATACTTGGTTTTAATACAATTTCCATACATTATTCTATTAGTTAAATTCTTTATACAAATATAATTTACTACACATGGTTCCATTTATTGCATTATCGGATCCGGTACAAGGATTTATCAGTCTAGTGTAGTTGTATTATATATATATGCATTAACTAGCACTGACTAATCTTACATTTTCATCTTTATAATTATTATTATCATAGTTATTTTTATTATTGTGTATTATTCCTGAGCTCTGCAGAAGTTTCTCCATATCCGGTCGAGAAGGGAACAACCTAAACAAAAAATCGTCAATTATTTAAAAACTGGAAACAACAATTTTCCTAATTAATGATAAGGACCCGTATCTAACCTAGCGCACTGCCATGTGCCTAAATTATTAGCTATAAAATGGAAGTATGGATGGAAGGCTTAATTTAGGATTAAGCCAAAGAATTTCGCGAGTTTGCGTCAATATATATTAAAATTATTTCTCGTCTCTCCAATAGTTTAAAAAACCTTATGAAATATCCCATAGAATTTGTTGTCTTGTTAAAATAAACATCTTTGTTCAAATTGGTCATTTGGAAGTTGTGCTATCAAAAAGTTTTCAAACTAATTTTTGAAACACCCTGCTCGTCTTAAAAATATTCTAAAATAATGAAAGATGAAATTCAATTTTCTGTTATTACATTTGAAGAGGTATATCAGCCTACCGGGTGGATTTTATGAGAACTGCAGATGGAATTTTGAACTGAGGTTCATAATCATAAGAGATATATTTTAAAGGAAGGATTATCTAAACTTGAGGGAAAAGGGTAATCTCTTCTGTAATACTTTTCTTTATCTTATTTGAATTCCAGAAAATTTTCTTCATTTGTTCAAGGGACTGTAGTCGTCATTTTTATTAGACCCAAACATTTAAAGGGACAGTTAGCGTTCATTCATTTAAGTGACCCTCCATTGATAAAATGACAATGCTGCAGATTTCATCAAATTAGAATAAATTCTTGAAACAGATTAATTTTGTTTGTTGTTGCTCTGCAAAGTGACTTGCACATCTCTTAATTTAAAAAATGAAAATGTTATTCAGAGTTAAACATTTTTAGATTCAGAAAAACAAAAATAAAACCTGCAGAATAAGCCGCAACTGAAAATAATAATTTTTCAGCAAAAAAAAATAAGGATTTCTTATCAAATCAAAAGTTTGAAAATCCAATTTTTAGATTTAAAGGTAAATCTTTTTCGTAACTATCATGGCCCCTCAAAAAAGATTTCAGAAACAAAAATGTTATAAAATAAACAAATTTTAGTAAAATCCGAATTACCGAGATATTTCGTTAATATTTGTCAATACTCCATCAACATTTATTTTAAAAAAGAATTCTGGAAAATTTGTTGATACATTATTTCTGCAAAAAGTAATTTGCTTTCAATAAGGTTGCACAAACATTGAATCAATCACTAAAGTGCATTAATTTAAAAATAATAAAATAAAAAATAAATTGTTTAAAAGTTTTCTATACACATAAACAGTACATAAACAGTAGACTGTACATAAACAGTAGACTGTACATAAAGCGAATACTGTAAACTGTAAAAAACACCGTGTTTGTAAGAACAGTAGCAATTATAAAACTATAAACGAGTTTTCAATATTCCTTTAAATCTTAATTATCAAAAAAACGCAAAAAACCCCACTAAATATTCAATCCAGAAGTTTTATAGCTATAGGGTTATATTTTGAAATTCAATTTTAGCAAAATATTACTTATTGAAAAGCCATACCAACACTTAAATGCTTTTTATTTGAGGCGGTTAGTACCACTGGTAAAGTTTCAATTATTTGAAAAGGGAGTCAATATTGTTCTACAAAATTGACTCCCAACATTTTTTCAGTATTTTTTTTTAGAACGAAGATAATCCTGTTTATTTTACGACTTAAAATTTTTTTTTAACAAAAGAGGAATAGAAAACAGAGGCAAGATCAGCTAAAAATAAGATCCAGACTTTTAAAAATATTAGGGAAGATTTTTTTTAGGTAAAAGTACTAAAAAGGAAAAATTTGTTAAGAAAGAAAAGATTTTACCCCCCCCACCCTTCTTCAAAAATCATTCCCAGGTACGTATGGTGGTGGTGGTGAGGGGAGAGGGGGGGGGGGTGTGAGGGTAGTAATTCAAAAAATATAATGTATATTTTATCCATTTAGAAATGAAACGAGTTTATATAAATAAAATTACAGAACTTCTGGCCCAGTGTGTAACTTTTCCAACAAAATGTTTTTGTATTTGATAATATAAATATAATACTGTGGAGAAAATTCAATTCAATGTTGACAATGTACACATCAAACTTTTAAAATTTAGGAAACTATATATCAGCGATTATTTGAAAATCATATATTTTACATACCATGGATCTGAATTCTCTTTAAAAAAAGTAGTTTGCTTATTGTCCTGTGATTTCTGAATAGTTACTTTTTCGTTAAAACTGAATAGGGTCAGCCCAGGTAGAAATCAACTTTTTTTTTAAATGTGGGACTCAAACCTTTTGTAGTGAAACCGCAATTGAAAAAGATTCATACTTGATTATACATTTGCACTTGAAATTAAACACAAGACCTTTTATAAAGAATTTTCATTTTTACAACTAAAGAAGAATTTTCTGCAAAATATTAAGATTAAAAACCAGTTTAATACAACATAAAGCAAACTGGAAGAGATTATACAGGGTGTCCCAAAAAACATGGAAATTCAGTGACGAATTCGATATCGTCTTTGTTATGAATTAGCATTGTAATACCTAATTTAAAATATATCTGTTATATTATAGGACAAACTCCTGATGATGCCAAAGTTTTTGGCGAAATATATTGAGAAGAAAATGATATAATTCTAGTGCTAGAGAGTAGGGTTGGGATTTGTTTAAAAACGATCTAAAGTTTATTTTAAAACCCATAATATTATTATGTCTGATAGAGTTTATTTTATGAAAACGGTAAATGGCTGTAAAGATGAGTCTAATGCCTCCGCAAGATGAACAGTGAAGACGGACAAGTTTACTCTGTTTGTATGCTGTAATTTTCTGTTTTACTAAGTACAACCGTATGCAGTCAAAACATAAACAAACAAAGTGTAAACATAGCAGACGAAACTCTTACAGATTACAACTTTCTCAGTAGGTATCACTATACTTAATCAAAGAATTATTTTAAAAGACGATATCGAATTCGTCACTGAATTCCCATGTTTATTGGGACACCCTGTATCTAAGTTACATCACTAGCACTGGAAACTTGAGATTGAATAAACTTATAAAACCTGGAATTTAAGTTTTTATATATTTTAAAACTTCAGAATTTAGGTCGATAAATAATTGATTTTTTAAAGGTTTGCAGTTAAAGGGAATATAGACTTGGTTTAAAGTGACTCTTTTTTAAAAAAATGACCCGATTCACAACAATACTAATTAAATCTTAGTTTCAACAACAATGGTGAATATATCGTTGTTTTCCCATCTTAAAATTGGTTGAATTCTGTTAAACTCCGTTTCTGTTGTAAACAGAATGAAATGTCATCGTAATTACGGCTAGAGTTCCTTTCAGCTCTTCGGCAAGATTTTGCCCAGTATTCAGAAGGATCTAAATTATTATGAAACCGGACATGGGAACTCTTGTTTTGTGGATATCGAGATCAATGAGTGATCTCAATCTTCTTTAATCTGCAGATTTATTTAATCCTTTTTAAATATCCCGAATGGTAATCGTAACCAGTCAGGGGTTTATGTTATGAGAGTTTTGGCCAGGGAAGGTATAACTGAAATGATGAGGCATTGATCCTTAAATTATAAGTGCCCATAGTGGATATCAAGATCTTTATAAACCAGTTTAATAAATACACAGATGAAGTAGGAACTGAGTTCAAACCGGAAAGATTATCTGAATAGTATTTATATTTGGGATTGGAGAACATACTTTTATACCCGGCCAAGTTTTTATCCCTTACAATAAAAAGTACTAGTTGTGCTTTAAGGAACAATCCACGTCCCAAACTCTATTATATCGGGTAGAGATCAAAGGATAGGATTATGAGCATTAACAAATCAAGAGGGGAACACAAGTAAACCCTCTTGAACTGAGAGATATATAGTTTGTTTACCTTCTATCCTTGATGAAGTTTAACGTCATCACTGCACCCTCCTGGGCTATTCTAAAAAAAAAATTTTTTTTGAAAAAATTCCAACATAAATCTGAATACCAATCTAGCGTACATTAATTTTAGACTGAAATCCAAAAAAAACGTACCTTCCATTTAAAATTTTAGAATTATTCTTTACTGAAAGGGAGTGTTCGGAAAAAATAATACTTTTAATTTTACTCAAACTAAAAACCTTAAACTTGGAATTTGTTTTATTTGCCTTAAACCTGGACAAGCATTCCTTTCATTTCAACTAAAACTAAGAAAAAACAAATTTTAACAATTTAATATCTCACACAAAATGTAAAAACCCCTTTTTTTTACTTAATCTGGAAAAAATTCTATTTTATAACACGAAATGTAAAAAAAAATCACGTTTGAATCTAAAATCTGAAGTAAAATCTAGAACAAAATGATGAAAAAATCCGTCTGAAATCTGGAGTACAAACTATTATTCAACACAAATTGTTAAGAAAAATCATGAATGAATCTAATATCTACCGCAAAATTATGAAGACTCCATTTTCAAACACAAAATGTTAAAAAACTCTTTTTCATACTCAAATCGTGTGACACAATATGTTAAAAATCTCTTTATTAACCTCAAATCATGTCAAACAAAATGTTGAAAATTTTTTTTTACCTGAAATCACAGTCAGCCCCTTTGTTCTCGCACCTTGTGAAAGCCTAGGATCAACCATCAATATTGTTTATTGAATTAAGTGGAAGTAGGATTTCTTTGATACAGTGGGACCTGTAAAACTGAAGGAAGACGACAATGAGGCAATCTTAAGCAAATACTTTTACTTTCAAAAATCAAATTATTATGTGAAATTGGCGGTATACTCTGTACAATTGTAAAGTTTCATGTTTATTGAGGCCGAATCTAATGTATTCAATGTTTCAAGATTTAAGCCGGCGCTCAATTGAAATCGGTTTTTGGCGGATTTAAGACTCGGCTCAAATTCATTAAAATCGGAAATTGGACTTTCAAGCATCATAACTGTAGTTTAACCCATTAATCCGGAGACTTTCCAACAATTACATCTCATTCTTTTTAAACCAATAAATTAACATTTTCAAGTATCATTTTGTTATTTGTTTAGTTTGGTCAGATATTTGAGGTAGAAACAGTTTTCATTTTTCTATTTGAATTTATTCAGTCTTTAATAAACTCTAGTTTCGAAATATTCAGCGGAATTTTTAAAATTTCAGAAAATATTTAGAATTTCCTAAATTGATTTTATAACGAAGAGTTCAGAGAATTGAAGTTATTTAGTTATCTGATAAAAGTTTAAAATAAAATGATTTGATAAGTAAAGTTTCAAAACTACGCTTGTATAACCATGTTTAATGTTCATATAACTTTATGTTTAAATGTATGTACTTTATATATATGTATTTAACTTCTTAAAATAAGTTGAGAACCATATCTCTCTATTGTTTATTAAGAAACAGAAGTAAAGTTAAAACTAGGTTTTATTTATCTAGCGTTTATATCTGCGTTTGGATCTGCTGAAATAGCAGAGGGTTTTAATGACTTTTTTGTGAACATTGGACCCAGATTGTCTAGTTATATTCCGGATTCTAATGTTAATTTTGAAACATATCTGAAGGAGCCATCCAAGGAAAATTTTGTGTTTGCAAATATTACACCAGAAATTATTCTTGAAACAGTGAGTAAACTTAAACCTAAAAACAGTTCAGGTAAGGACAATATTTCTACCAAGCTACTGAAGGAAATAATTGAAAGTATTGTCTATCCTATAGCGCATTTGTTTAACCTTTCTTTTAAAACAGGATATATCCCTAGTGATTATAAATGTGCAAAAATAATTCCTATCTTTAAAACTGAACAAAAAGATAAATTTAATAACTACAGACCAATTAGTATTCTACCAGCGCTAAGTAAACTTCTTGAAAAAATAGCTGCGACTCAAATGTTTAAATATCTTAACAAGTTTGAGATTTTCTATCAACATCAATATGGATTTAGACCACAACATAATACTAAT